TCGGAAGGTGCTTTGATTCGCGCGGGGGGGCGGGGGGAGCCGAGCGCTCCGCTCCCCATTTGGGCAGCCGAGCGGACCCCGGGGCGCGGTGAGACGCGCCTGGCGACCGACCCCTGCCCCCTCGGAGCGCTCTTCGTGCCTCTCCCGGGGGACGGAAAGCTGCCTTTTCCCGCTACCCCACCGAAACGTGGCGTCCGTGCAGAGCGAGCGATCCTGGACAAGAGTGAAATCCAGCAGCCGGTTTGCCCACGGAGCGGGGCTGCAAGGGAGCAGGGTCTGGGATGTTTTGCTGGAAGGGCTTCTCGGTGTGCTTTTTAATTCCCTCGCATCACTTGAAAGAAAGAGCGAGAAACTTTACTACCAACAGGACTGTAGTGTTTTTCACCGGACCTCTCCCTAGCTGCTCCGGTCTCCTTCCTTTCCCGAAAGGGGATGTTGGGAACTACCTTGGGACTTAAATCACCATCAAGCGTTTCAATTTTTAATATGACAACATTCTACACTTTGGCTGCAAAAGCAATTATTGTGGCTTGTACACCAGTAATTAGCAGGTCTTTGCTGATGCAAGGAAAGTCCTCATTAGGACAAGGAAATACTTTTTGTGCATTCACCCAAAGCGTTGGTTGTTTTTTGTTGTGCGTTTTGTTTTGTTTTTTGGGTTTTGGGTTTTTTTTTTCTTCTGAAGGTTAATTTTGATCATTTAAAGGGAAAATAGCTTTTACTTTAAATGGGATATTGACTTTCTGTGAACTTCACCAAATAACACATGTACTGTAGGTTTTGTCTCAGTGCTGCCAGTGACACTCAGGGTAGGACAAATACCGCGACTGCAAAGTGTAAAGCTAACATTTGCTGAAATGAAGATATCCAGAGGGTTTAGAGTGAGCGGTGAGATCCACATTAGTTATTTTTTTAAAGTCGGGATATATAGCAAACTATGATCAGACGTTAATAGTTAATATCATAAGCTTTAGTATATTCATCTTTGGGGAATCCTAAAAAGAGAAATCAAATACAATGGGTTACAGTAATTAATTTATAAATCGTTTCACTGTGGGAATAAGGGGTTACTTTATTGCTTTCTCGAGATAGGCAGTTCAGTCAATTAAGGAATTCTGCCTATTTCTTGCATTTGAAGCCGGAGAAAACTACGGGAGACAAGCAAATGTGTATATATATGTTCCTCCCTTGCTTTATTGAGCATCTCTGGCCATAAACGTAGGGTTACAGCATGCTCGTGTCGCCAATGAACTCTCTCCTCAAAGCCTGCGAGTTTATTTCCATCAGTATTCATGAGGGTGGGCGTACCCACGAGGAATAGAAACAACAGCGAACATTAAAATAAAATCTATTACCAGGCCCGCGTGATTCTGAGCCTGGCTCAAGCCGTCTGTTCGGGGAGCTGGCCGTGCGTGGAGAGGAGAGGTGGGCCACCGGGGGCTAGTGACACGGGGTGCAGGTCCCGGCGGGCCCCGGGGAGCCCCCTCGGGCAGCAGCCCCTACACCCGGTGGGGCCAAGCAAGCAGCAGGGCAGCGGCGGCGCCGGGACCGGCTGCAGCACCTCAGTAGCGGGTCAGGCTGCAATTTTTAGCGTTACTTTAAAAGTTAGCCTAAAGTTAGCGCTTTAGCTCTTGAGGGGAAAAAAAAAAAAAAAAAAAAAAAAAAAAAAAAAAAAGTCGCAAAGATCGAGAAGAAGAGTTTTTCCTCCGGGACTTGATAGGTGACAGACCAAATGTTGCTCCACAAAAACCCCTCTTTGTCCTTCTTCTCCCCTCTCCTGAAAGATCAGACAGAGGGAAGACTTGGCTGCAGCTCCCTAAGGAGGCGTCTGCCTCGGGGAGGCAGCGGGGGGGGCCGGCAGCAGCCCCCCCAGGAGCCGGCAGCAGCCCGCCTCCTCCCCGGGGTCGGGAGGCTTCGCTGCCCTGCACGCCGTCACCCCGGTGCCTCGGGCGGCCGCCACCCGGGTGGCTCCAGTGAAGGAGCGAGGAGCCCCTGACAGGAGGTGTGTCACCAGCCGGGCGGGACTGCTTCCCCCGAGGAGAATCCAGTAGGATGTATAACGCAAGCTGTGCATCCCCAGATGTGCCCACCGCCATCCCAGGGTTCAGAAGACATCTCGGAGGTGGGACCCTTAGAACTCCTAAAGGTCCTCACATCCTCAGCCTCCGGCTAGCACAGGGGGTGGAGGTGACAGAAAGGCCGAATTCTCTGCCTTTATGGCCTTAAAAAATAAGCCAGTGAAGAGAAGGCTTATCGTTTTAAAAGTACTGGTGGGGCTGATGTTCCTCCAGCCAAGGAGCAGGTCTCGCCCAGCAGCGCCTGCCACAGGCGTATGTTCCCATTCCTCTGGTGGTTGCCTGCCCTGCCTGCCCTCGCTGCCCCGACCCAGCCCCGGCCAGCCCAGAAGTTAAAGACCCGGCAGAGGCAAAGCAAGTGCCCGAGGGTATGTGGGCAGGAAGGCAGGTCACCGCTTAGCCTAGAAAACCTCCACTCGGCCGCCTTTGTCACCGCTTGCACAATTTTCCCTTCTCTCAGAGTTTTCCTTCGGGAAACCTGATGAACTTGATCTGACAGCATCCTGGAGAGTGGGGTTCGCGCAGAGGCACCCTGATAAGCACCCATGCATCCCAAGGAACAGCATCCCTCGCGTTCCTCCACGGGACGAGGACGTGATCCCGGTAATCTGCCTCCCTGCCCCGCCGGGCTCAGCCCAGGGGCACCGCGGCTCTGGGCTGGATCTCGCCATGGTCGGGAACGGCAGCCTGCTGAGCTCGGGCCTTGCTCCTGGAGCTGGGCGCTTTTCAGCAATTTTGGCGAAAAAAACGAGGTGTTCCCCACTTCCTTACTCCCAATCCCTTTCCCAGGAGGGTTTTCCTTTACAATGGATGGTAGCTGAGAAGTGGCTAGAATAACTCATGGCAAAAAAAAAAAAAAAAAAAAAAAAAAAAAAAAAGTCAATAAATACACATAAAGTATTATTTGTATGATTTGTGGATTCTGATACAATGATTTCGATAAATAAGGAGAGCTCAATCCCAGTTTCAAGTTCACCCCCTTCAGAGATGAAGTTGCATTTCGCTACCCCAGGGGACACGGTAATGGATGGAGACCTGGCTCCCTCTCGCACAAGTAATTGGCAGACATTCCCTCCTTCCTCCTGGACTGGCTAGGGATCTAGGGAAAGGCTTATGAAGACAAATGTGTCTTCACTTGGGGTTGTGGTGTGTGCTGTTGTGTGCGCGTGTGTGTTTTCCTGCGTGACCTTTCTGCTATGTTTATGCGCATAAATAAAAGGCGCTCAGGAGAAACGAAACAATTCCGATGCACTCCCTGGCTGTCACATCCCAGATCCAAACACCCCGCTGCCTGCTTGCCTGCAGCCCTGCTGAAACAAGCAAGGCAGCATCTGATCTGTCACCGAGGGACGGCTCCAGCGTGCCCCAAGGGACAGACAGGATTCACCTTGGGCCGCTCGCTAAGGATTCGTACTCATCTCACAGGCGCAGTAGCAGATTGGCTCCTTCTGTAGTTTTGCCTCCGACTTCATAAACAACTACGAGAAAAAAATAGAATCTCCTCTAAAACGGGACAGAAATCCCAAAACACTCATAATACTAACAGGGTGACTCCTCAACTGTTTGATTCAAAGGCAAGAGCATTCAAAGTATAAACCACAGAAGGGAGGGAAAGTAAGAAACAGAGAAGGGAGAGAGAGAGAGAGAGAGAGAGAAAGAAAGAAAAAGAAAGAGGAAAGAAAGAGAGAAAGAAGAGAGAAAGAGAGAAAAGAGAGAAAGAAAGAGAGAAAGAGAGAAAGAGAGAAAGAGAGAAAGAAAGAAAGAAAGAAAGAAAGAAAGAAAGAAAGAAAGAAAGAAAGAAAAAGTTGGTGATTGCTTCCTGCTTCAGGCCACGCCAATGCCACTTGGGTTTTCCCAGGGAGCAGGAGTTGGGGCCGGGCGGCAGGAGGAGATGCAGTCTCACCTCCGCGGCGCTGCCCGCGCAGCGCGCACACGCACACGCACGCCCCGCGTGGGCGCAGCGGCTGTCACCCGCGGCGCCTGGCACAGCAATAGGTGCAATAAAACTACACGGGGTGGGGGAAAATTAAATTACAGGGAAAACAATAGCATCTGAGTGGTTCAAACAAATGTCTGCCGCCCCCCGTCTTCTCCAGGAGCCGGTGTACAATTCGCGGCAGGAGCGGGGAGCGGCCGGAGGGCGCCCCTTTCTTTGGAAGAGCGCGGAGGGGCAGAGCACCTTTGTGCTTCAGTGCCGAGGGCCGGCCGCTTCCCTGCGCCGCTCCGACGGCAGGGAAGGGGCGCCCAGCCCCGCACCCCGCCCATCCCCGCCCCACCGGGGCGCCCCGGGCCGCGCTGGTGGCCGCGCAGCGCGCACGTGTGGCAGCCACAGGTGCCGCAGCCGCCCGGTGCTCGGTGCCGCTCGCTATAAGAGTGGCCCCGCCGCCGCCGCCCCGGTGAGACGGGCGAGGGCTGCGGGAGATGCAACAAGGCGCGGGGAGGCAAGGACCGGGGGCGGCGGGAGGAAAAGGAGGAGGAGGAGGAGGAGGAGGAGGAGGAAAAGGAGGAGGAGGAGGAAGGGGGGGAGACAGCTGATGTCTGTCAAAGCCGGAGCCGCCGCGCTCTCGCGAGAGCCCGCCCGGCGGTAGCCACGGGATGCGGGGCTCAGGTGCGGGCAGAGCGCAGCGCAGCGCGCCCGGCGCCGGGCAGCGGCAGGCAGAGAACTGACAGAGGGAGGGAGGGAGCGAGGGAGACGGCGGGGGCCGGAGGGAGCCTTGCCGCCCGCTCGCCTACCCAGCCCAGCCTCGGCCACCGCGGCAGCGGCGGCGGCGGGGGCAGGGTCCGCTGCGGCACCGCCGCCACCACCGGCTCCGCCACCGCCACCCGCCGCTGTCAGCGGCTTCCCCCGGCGGGAGGAGAGAGCCCGGAGAGCACTTTTCCCCCGACTTTAGGAGTGTTTGTGGATTTACATGCCAAGCCTTCAAGATGATGTCCATGAACAGCAAACAGCCTCATTTTGCCATGCATCCCACCCTACCTGAGCACAAATACCCCTCTCTACACTCCAGCTCGGAAGCAATAAGAAGAGCATGTCTACCAACTCCACCGGTAAGGGACAGACAGCTGCAGCTCTCTTCTTTCTTTCTCTCCCTTAAAAGCACACACTTTTTTCTTTCTTTCTCTCTCTCTCTCTCTCTCTCTCTTTCTGTATACTGCATGTATGTGTATGTGCATTAATAAAAAAACCGCTGCGAGGCACATTTTGACAAGCGGCGCTTAATGTTTTTTTCATGTCTTCCTCTGCAATCATCTGAGCGCCTGTGATCTTTTTTGAAAGCGGTGTTCACACGAGTCTCCGACTTCATCCACTTTCTGTATTAATTTTTATGACTCGGCCTCTGAAAAGGAATGCGTTTTATGTGCTCTTGTGTTTGACACAATTCCCCAGCTGAGAGTTACAGATCCATTTCTTCTCCTCCTTTCTCTTCTCCTTTCGTTCCAATTCCCCCCTTTTAATTTATTAATTTATTTGTTCCCTTCATTCCTTCCTTCTCTCCTTATCCGATTCCCTCTTGCTTCCTTACCTTTCTACTCTTTGCTTCTTTTCCTGTTTTGCTCCTTCTTCTCGCTTCTTCCCCTCCCATCCCCCCATTATTCTACCCCATCTCCCTGGTTCCCCTCATTTCCCCGGGCTGTCGCCTGCTGTACTGCGCTTCCCCCAATCTCTTGGCTCTTCTCTCCGATCCCGTACTCCCTTACACGCTGATCCTACTGCCGGCTCCCCGGCCGTCACCCTAACTTTGCCCACCTCTCTCTCCCCTCCCTCGACTTCCCCCCTCCTTTTCCACGGCGCTCCCGCAACCCCACGCTGTCCCCCGCCCGTCCCCTTCCCCCTCCGCACTTTGCCCCCTCTCTGCCCCCTTGCCCTCCTCTCCCCGCACCCCGCTCTGTTTTGTGTCTCCTGCAGCTGCAGAGCAATATCTTCGCCAGCCTCGATGAGACCCTGCTGGCGCGGGCCGAGGCTCTGGCCGCCGTCGACATCGCCGTCTCGCAGGGCAAGAGCCACCCGTTCAAGCCCGACGCCACGTACCACACCATGAACAGTGTGCCCTGCACCTCCACCTCCACCGTGCCCCTGGCGCACCACCACCACCACCACCACCATCATCACCAGGCGCTGGAGCCCGGCGACCTCCTGGACCACATCACCTCCCCCTCCCTCGCGCTCATGCCCGGGCTCCCTCAGCCAGAGCACCATCTGCCGCTTCGAGTCCCTCACCCTGTCCCACAACAACATGATCGCCCTCAAGCCCATCCTGCAGGCCTGGCTGGAGGAGGCCGAGGGTGCCCAGAGGGAAAAAATGAACAAGCCCGAGCTCTTCAATGGGGGCGAGAAGAAGCGCAAGCGGACTTCCATCGCCGCCCCGGAGAAGCGCTCGCTGGAGGCGTACTTCGCCGTCCAGCCCCGGCCCTCCTCCGAGAAGATCGCCGCCATCGCCGAGAAATTGGACCTCAAAAAGAACGTGGTGCGGGTTTGGTTTTGCAACCAGAGACAGAAGCAGAAACGGATGAAATTTTCCGCCACCTACTAGGGGCGGGCGGGAGGGGCGGCCCCGGCATCGGGGGCACCGGGGGGGCCGGGCCGGGGCCGCGGGGGACGCCCACGCACCGCCACCGTCGCCTGAGACGCCGCGGGAGGCTCCTGGGGACCAAGGGACGATGTAGAAATTAAACGCGAACTACTCGGGGAGAGGGGGGGCGTGCGTGTGGGGGGTGCGCTATCAATTATTAAAACAAAAAAGACACCGGGACACCAACGAGAAGAAGGAGGAGAGAGGAGGTAAAAACGCTCTAGAAGCCCGGGGGGGGTCACTTCTGCGGCCCTCTCCCCTCTCTGTCCCCCAGCCCCCCGACAGAAAGCGGGAGAAAGAGCAACTTACAGCGTAAACACACACAGACACACACCAATAAATACCGTGACAGCAACAGCCACAAATCGAGAAACCTAAGTCACAACTTTCCGAAGGAAAACAAAACCGACCAACAAACCCGGAAGGCGAAACTGTTGGTGATGATGATGCTACGTTTGGTTTGGGTCTCTTTTCATTACTTTCTACTTTTTTTTTTCTTTTCCCTGGCTTAGTAATGAATGAAGACAGCGGTGGTTTGGTGCGGGGAACTTTTTCTTTAGTTGGCTTGGGTTTGGGTTTTTTGTTTGTTTGTTTTAGTCTTTATTTTTCTTTGTTTTGTTTTGGGGGTTTTTTTTCCTGTTGTTTTTTATTTTCCTTCGAACGCGGTTTTGCGCGAGGCTTTGGCGATGGGTCTTGTCTGTGCCGGGGGAACGGTGAGAGCGGGGCAAGGGCCGGGAGAGGGGCAGCGGCCCCCCGAGGCTAGGGAGCAGTCCCTTTCCTTTCCGTTGTTGCCTCAGCTAGCTCAAGGAAAACAAGGGGGGAAAAAAAGTTACTCCACAACCCCTTTGTCTCTCCTCCCTCGCCCGCGTGGTTTGCGTTTCCAGCTGTGTCCAAAGACGGGTCCCTCTCTCTGCAGAGATGCATCTGGAGGCAGATGCCAAACCTGCCAGAGCGGGGATGCTCTCCAAAAGAATATGTTCAGACTCATTAAGTCTCATGGTTATCTATGTTCTTTCTCCTCCCTCCCTCCCTCTCCGCTGCTCCCAACCGTATGCCCCCCGGCATCCCCACCAAATCTGCTGGATTTAGGCTAAGGTCCCCCCTTGGTTTCCTCCAAGGGCTGGATGTTATTGCACCCGGTAGGCAAAAGAAATCACCGGTGATGAGTTTGAAATGACATTTGTTTCTGAGGGATGTGCATGTTGGGAACAAACACACGACAAAAAAAAACCACTTGGGCTTAAAAGTCGTTTGTTGTGTATCATAAACGTTATGTGGAGGAAGGCTTTTGGTAGGGGTGTGTGGGGTTCAATTTGCACTATCACAGTCTCCTGGATTGGAAGCGATGATGTTATTCTGTAATAACCATGCTGGTATGCCTAATAATCGTCAAGGTGCGTTACGTGCCTCACGGATTGAAAACAAACAAAATTATCAGGGCTTGTTAGGTAAAAAAGAGAGTGATGTGCAGAGACTCTGTCTCTTGGCGAGAGACTGCTGAGGGTTTCGAATAAAAAAAGAATTTCTGAAAAAAATACCATTTCTTTTAAATCAAAACAATCAATAGACTGAAATGATGCATGACATGATCTGAAAAAGAAGAATTTAAAAAAGTTCTTTTAAATCAAAACAATCAATAGACTGAAATGATGCATGACATGATCTGAAAAAAAAAGAATTTTAAAAAAAGGAAAAAATTAAAAAGAAAGGAAAAGAAAAGAGGGAGAAAAAGGCATAGAAAGATCCGTGATAAAGTCTCAATATTATTTATTTATTTATTTATTTATTTATTTATTTATTTATTTATTTATTTATTTATTTATCTATTTATTTTATTATTATTATTATTTTGTGTATCATTGTTTGCAGCGCAAACATTCTATGCATTTTGAAACTGAGCACTAAATAGACTAGCTTCTGGTAGAATCTTTTGTGGATGGTGTAATTTCACAGTTTAACTGCCTGTTTTCACCGAAAACACAAACGTTCTTGTCACGTTCTTGTATTTAGATTTAAAAGAGGGGGGAAAAAAGAAAAAAAAAAGATAAGAAAGACGATTGTAAATATTTTCTTTAATGCACAAAACAACAACAACAACAACAACAAAGGTTACAAACTGCAATCACGTGTGGATCCTGAAATGTCTCACTGAATAATCTACCTGTCCATGTATGTTTGCTGAGCTTTCTCCTTGGTTGTGTCTTTACTCTATTTAATTTCTATCAGAAATATTTCTGTACGCCAAAATACAACAGGGAGATGTGTCCCAGCATACTTACAAATAAAACAAACGTAAAAACAGAATAGTTATTATCATTATTGGGTGCATTTAAAAAAAATAAAAATATTTCCACGGCTGGTAAATTCAAGGTATGGCCGTTAGACGATAAGACTAATTCTACCAAAAAGAAAATAGTGAGAGATGTATTTTTCTGCTAAATCCAGAAATCATTACTTTGAGATAGCTCTTATGTGAAAATCGGTGCTCTGAATAAAATTAACTATATATTAGCTGCGTGTGTTTCTTGAAGTTTATTCTATAACTGCAGAATATAAATCAAAGTAAAATTTTAAGGACTTCTGAAGTATTTCTTTTCAGTGTGCTGGAAAGGATTATGCACCTACAAAATATGTATAAAGAAGAAAAGCTTGGGTGGTTTCAGGTTTATATGTTGTTCTGACTGGCCTAATTGCACTTAATTATGTAACAAGATACTTTATTTTTATTTTGGGTTAATAAATATGAAAATCCTAAACTGATCTCTCCTTATGTTGTGAATGCAATTGTTCATTAGGAACGTATAGGATGCCACCTACTGCTTCAAGTGATCAAAGAACCTCTTTCTATTTTCTGATGACCTGTGACTAGATCAGATGCCAAATGTAAAAACTTACTTAATAGCTGGGATTATTTCTTCTGTAGACATATTTTAGCCAAATCTTTTTAGTTTTGCCGGTAAATCTGTGAACCAAGACACGTGATGTTCAGAAAAGAATAATACGTTTAAAAAAGCTGTGATTTTAAACAACTGTTGATGTTAAAAAATAAGCACTAAAGGTATTTTTAAAAAAAACCCAGAGATCTCGTCCACCGGAAATTGACTTGTTTCTGTTGTTATTAACTTGAAATGTCATCAGAATTTTTAATAAATGCATTTGTAAAAATATTATTTTATAGAAAAGTATTACCGGATATCATTTTTTTGGAGAGTCAGGAATGAACAAATAAAAATAATTACAAATGTTGGGTTTTCTTTTTCATCTGCCCCAAATGATTGAAATGTTGAAAGCGATACCACATTTGTATCATTCAGTCATGACTGATGTATGTACAGAAAAGCTGAGGAGTTTGTTTTGTGATAAGTACAATCCTTATCGAGTAAAAAGAAAAAAAAAAGTATGCTAATAAAACAAGTGGTGAAAATAAAAGCTTTGCAGAGTTTCCTATTTTTGATGGTAGGAAACTGTGCAAAACCAAAACGTCCCGCTTTCTGTCAGATGAATCTGAATAGCTCATAAAACCACAAAATTCTCGTGAGGCCTTTTAAATAAATGTCTCGAAAGAAAGAAAGAAAGAAAGAAAGAAAGAAAGAAAGAAAGAAAGAAAGAAAGAAAGAAAGAAAGAAAGAAAGAGTCAGTTTATAAGGTTTAACTTAAGGACTATTGAAACTTTTACATCCGAGGAAAAAGGTAAGATAAAAGACGAAGAGGCAGAACATGTGTTCACATTTATTCCCCAACAGTACGCAGCTTCTCGCACAGAGAAGAGCCATTTGTGCCCAAAAAGATACAGAAATCCCCCCACTGCCCATGTGCCAGGGCCCGAGGTCGCTGCCGGGCGGCGGCTCTGACCACTCCTGCAGTCCAGCCTGTGCCCCTTGCCTGCGAACGTTTCGCTGCTGTCATCCCTTGAATGGGCTTCTTCTCCACAACCCAGGTATCTCGCCGCTTTCCTAGTGTTTCTTTCCTAGCGCGATTTTCCAGTCCTAAGTCTGCTAGGCGCGGTTTGGCTCCCGGAATTTCTGCCTAACACTTGCTCTCCGCTTGCTTTCAACTTAGATTAGGCCATCATAAGTGAGTAACAGACACCCACTGCCACGGTCGTATTGATTTTTACTCTCCTGTGATATTAAGACTAATTCGGTCCTGGTTCAACAAGTAAAAAGGCTTCCCAGAAGGAGAATGAAGTGTCCTACAGCACTGACTTTATGGTTTATGTGCCTCCCTCCCCGCCTCCCTGTGTTACCCCTTTCCTCCGAAGAGAAATAGATTTGTCGAAAGATAATTATTTTAACTCTGACGGACTCGAGCGCATAAAGCTTGATAGCGCCGGTGGTGCCCTGTGTTATTCTGGCATTTCCCAAACGATTTTAAATCCCTCCAGTTATTTATATCTCGCTTTTTCAGCCGTTTTTTTTTTTTTTTTTTTTTTTAAGCTTTATTATATTTACCTGCTGATTCCAAAGCGGAGGCAAGCCTAATTGATTTTTAAAAGATCAGCAGCAGAATTCTAATCCGCTTGGGAGCCTGTTTCCACCTGCCAGACGAGGGTCTGATTATCGGTAATTATGTTATTTAAGAGTTGATAAAGTAGCGGGGCCCGGCGCTGCGCGGGCCGCTCTCCCAGCCGGGGCGCGGAGGGGACCCGCGCCGGGAGAGCCGCGGCGCGGCGGGGCCGCCGCCATCACGTGCGCCGCGGCAAACACAATTACGGGCCGCCGTTAATAATTCATGGGCTGAGATTTAGAAAATTAATAAAATGAATTATAACAAGAGGCTAATTAAAAACTTTAGTAATTGTTGTCAAGACAGCTTGATGGGAGGCGTGCTGCACGACGCTTCACCCCCCCCCCCCCCCTTCTCTTCCTTCCCCCTTCCGCTTTTGGGAAGCTTTTTCTTTTCCTCCTTTGCGACCCCTTCGCACCTGAAGAAGGGTCGGTTTGGGAGAAAAGCAGTGGATG